CACCCCCGCTGTCACCCCACCTAACTCCACAACAACATCCATAGAGCCTCTATAGTGTCCTCGTGTGGCCAGGAGACTATAGAGGCATAGTGTATAGGCACAGACCATAGAGGCATATGCTGTTTTTATAACAATATAGGAATAACAGTATAGGAACAACAGGATAGTAACAACAGGATAGTAACAACAGGATAGGAATAGGGAAATAAATAGTGTGATGAGAGTCGGGCGAGCAGCTAACCAGAGGCGTCAACCTCTAGCCAGTGCACCTAGCCGCCCTCAGCAGCCGACACATAGTACCACAATTAAGGTTAACATTGTGGGAGTTTATTATCCCTAATCCACTACAATTATCACGCTGGTAAAACCGTTGTGTTACGGGTTGTTAAATTGTTGTGTAGTTGTTATGGAGACAACCCCATCACTGGCTTTTGTTCTCCAGGGCTTGGTCGCTGGCTTGGGCGCTGGCTTCGTCGCTAGCTTGGTCGCTGGCTTGGGCGCTGGCTTCGTCGCTAGCTTGGTCGCTGGCTTGGTCGCTAGCTTGGTCGCTGGCTTGGGCGCTAGCTTGGTCGCTAGCTTGGTCGCTGGCTTGGTCGCTAGCTTGGTCGCTGGCTTGGGCGCTAGCTTGGTCGCTGGCTTGGTCGCTAGCTTGGTCGCTGGCTTGGGCGCTGGCTTCGTCGCTAGCTTGGTCGCTGGCTTGGTCGCTAGCTTGGTCGCTGGCTTGGGCGCTAGCTTGGTCGCTAGCTTGGTCGCTGGCTTGGTCGCTAGCTTGGTCGCTGGCTTGGGCGCTAGCTTGGTCGCTGGCTTGGTCGCTAGCTTGGTCGCTGGCTTGGGCGCTGGCTTCGTCGCTAGCTTGGTCGCTGGCTTGGTCGCTAGCTTGGTCGCTGGCTTCGTCGCTAGCTTGGTCGCTGGCTTCGTCGCTAGCTTGGTCGCTGGCTTGGGCGCTAGCTTGGTCGCTAGCTTGGTCGCTGGCTTGGTCACTGGCTTCGGCGCTAGCTTGGTCGCTAGCTTGGTCGCTGGCTTGGGCCTGGCTTAATCGCTGGCTTGGGCGCTGGCTTGGGCCTGGTTTGGGCGCTGGCTTGAGCCTGGCTTGGGCGCTGGCCTGAGCCTGGCTTGGGCACTGGCTTAGTCGCTGGCTTAGTCGCTGGCTTAATCGCTGGCTTGGGCGCTGGCTTAATCACTAGCTTAGTCGCTGGCTTGGGCGCTGTCTTGGTCGCTGGCTTGGGAGCTGGCTTGGGAGCTGGGTTGATTGCTGGCTTGGGCGCTGGGTTGGGTGCTGGGTTGGTCACTAGCTTAGGCGCTGGGTTGGTTGTTGGATTGGGCGCTGGGGTGGTCGTTGGGTCACTAGCTTAGTCGCTGGGTTGGGAGCTGGCTTGGTCGTTGGCTTGGGCGCTGGCTTGTGTTATGATCCCAGGTAGCCTGAAGAGCGAGTCTACCCCTATGAGAGTTATTCAACAAACTAGCCCCAATTGAGAGGTCAAAGGAAATGCAGATATGTGAATAGATATTAAATACTCGGCAAATGTTAATGAACAGTTTAAAAGCATGTGCAGAGGATAAATATGTGAATAAGGACATGACATAAGATGTCAATATTTTGGCTGACAAGGAATGAGGCTCGCTGTGAATGTCTTGACTCACTCCAGCAGCAGAGGTCGTGAGAGGAGGTTGCTCTGTGTTTGTGCTCCTGGCAGCAAAGGAGGAACCCCTAGTTGTATGCCCCTACAAGAGGAGGGAGCCAGTCAGGCGTTTGTGTATGAAGCCTGAGGACGACTTAGTGCTGCGTCAGAACTAGGAGAAGCCTGGTGAGGCAGTCCTATAGCGATTTCGTGGGCAACCTGTGTGAGCGCCATATCTAGCCTCCGCGAGTGAGTGAGGCTCCATGATCAGTGATCATGGCAAGTGTTTATGGATACATTAGATACGTTTTGTTAAGGCAGTGAGTTAAAATATGAGGGTAGAGATGGAGGAACGTACTGGATGGCGGAGTGACACATCCACCCTCTCTGGAGGCCAGTGACTGATTGAGTGGGGCAGGTGGCTGCCAGCGAGGCCGAGCATGGAATTGTCCAAACGGGGGAGTACCCCTCGCGACATGTTGGAGTTTAAAGAGATGTCGAGTGAAGGAGACTTATTTTGTGTGAATACATTTAATTATGTTTCAGTAGGAAACATTTTTATTGGCATGACAATGGAAATTGCAGGTTTGTTTGGGGGAAGAGAAGTTGATGGAGTAAACTTCGAGGTGGAGAAGTGAAGGCTGAACTCTGTGGTAGAGCAGAGCCCCCATAGTGAGAAGTGGACCTGAAGTAGTGTGGAGGAGCAGTGAGGAGAAGTTTCACATGTCTGTGGGATCAGTGGTGAAGCATCACTGATGTTTAATGAGAACTTCATTGTGTAGCAGTTTAGGAGGACTGCAGGAGAACCTTGTTGACAATTTTGTGAGAACCTAGAGTTATACATGATAGTGAGCCTCTAGGAGCAGACCAGAGGTTCATGGTGATCACACATGTAGTATAAGGGGGAGTGCTGGAGTGGTGACTGGCGTGTGCCTCTAGGAGCAGACCAGAGGTTCATGGTGATCACACATGCAGTATAAGGGGGAGTGCTGGAGTGGTGACTGGCGTGTGCCTCTAGGAGCAGACCAGAGGTTCATGGTGATCACACATGCAGTATAAGGGGAGTGCTGGAGTGGTGACTGGCGTGTGCCTCTAGGAGCAGACCAGAGGTTCATGGTGATCACACATGCAGTATAAGGGGGAGTGCTGGAGTGGTGACTGGCGTGAGCCTCTAGGAGCAGACCAGAGGTTCATGGTGATCACACATGCAGTATAAGGGGGAGTGCTGGAGTGGTGACTGGCGTGTGAGGCGCAGTGGATGGTGAGACATTGATTTATTGTTTGTGCTGGGGAATATTTATGCAGATGTTTCTAGTGTCTCAGCCACAGGCTGAGCTTTATATACTATCAGGGCTGATTGTGCAATATTATTACGACGAGATTTAACCCTACTTGGTGAGAGAGTAGTAAGTGGTAAGCCAGGAGTGGAGTATCACTTGATATGGACAGTTGGTGAAGCCAGGATATGGTATTGGAGTGCTACCAGGTTGTAGCAGCTTAGAATGTTGTATGATAGTATATCATCTTGCTTTATCATGTATTGAAAATGTTCTCTTCTTTATTAAACGTTTATTGGTTATCCGGCTTTTGCTCTTGTCCTGGTGAGGCTTCCCAGAGAGAGAGAGAGAGAGAGAGAGAGAGAGAGAGAGAGACAGAGAGACAGAGAGAGAGAGAGAGAGAGAGAGAGAGAGAGAGAGAGAGAGAGAGAGAGAGAGAGAGAGAGAGAGAGAGAGAGAGAGAGAGAGAGAGAGAGAGAGAGAGAGAGAGAGAGAGAGAGAGAGAGAGAGAGAGAGAGAGGGGGGGGGGAGGGGATCACAGCTGCAGACAGGGTGACAGAAAACACTGATTCACAAAAGAAAAATTGAGATCATTCCTAATAAGGAGAGAATGGGGAGTCACGGTGGCTCAATTAGGGTGTGTACACAGGACATGAGGCCAGTGTTGGAGCTGCATCCCTAGATAGGTGATGCTGAACCCGTCTCCAAGATCAAGAGGTGTACAGGGTGATCTCCTGAGAAAACTTCGAGCACTGCACAGTTTATTGTTGGTCGACCGATGGTAGTAGGAGTGTAGCTGCCGAGGTTGGTTGTCTGTTCCGGCAGAGAGTGGTTGGGTGACATTGTCCACCTGTACGTAACAGTCTGGTGCAGCAACCAGAGCTCTCTTTGGAGGTTTAAGTTCCAAAAGGCCCAACCCCCTCAGGTCAGGACAGATATTGGGGGGCCTGTCCGGGAGCTTGGAGTGACACACCCTCATTTCGAGTCTACGAGGTTGAACTGGTACACCCTTTGTGGAAGTAGGTAGACCGTGTGACCGCAGGTATATTCTCTCTCTCTAAGGAAGACTCACAGGACAGGATAGAGAAGGTGCAAGTGTTTGAAAAGTTAGAAAAGCCTGAGGAAATGGAAGGTTGCACCAAGGAGCAGTTGAATCAGATAGCGGAGAAATATGGCATCAAGGTGAAGTCATCTAAAGTGGCTGGAATGAAGGATGAGATCCTTAGACAGTTGAGAGCTAAGAATGAAGTGGCAGAACAAGGAGCCCAGAAAGGTGTCGGAAGTGGAAAGGAGGATGATGGACAAGATGAAGTGAGATTCCAAGGATCAAGTAGGAGTAGTCGCAATAGCAGAAGTAGCAGAAACAGGAGCTTAGAACGGTTGCAGCTAGAGCTCCAGATGGAGCGTGAAGAGAGACAGTTCCAACTGGAAAATTTGAAGTTAGAACTTCAGATGAAAAAATGAAGCAGAAAAAGAGAAAGCCAGACTGGAGGCACAGAAAGAAAAGGAGAAAACTAAACTAGACGTGGAGAAAGAAAAAGAGAAAACCAGAATACGAGAACTAGAGTTGGAACAGGAAAAAAAGAGAGAAAGCCCAAGTTGAAAGGGAAAAAGAGAGAGAACAAAACAAACGGAGATAGAAGCCAATAAAATTTGATCAGAGGAAAGTATTGAAGATGGGTTGCCAGAGAGCACCAGCCATGTGTAACACCCACACTATAATACAGTTAGAGAAAAAGACATTCACCTGTTTGAGTCTCAGGAGGCAGAGAGCTTCTTTGAACATTTCGAGAAGGTGGCCAACATGAAAGAACGGCCACAGGAAGAATGGGCCCAATTGGTTCAGTTGAGGTTGACCGGCGCCGCCAGAGAGGCATATACCCAATTATCACTGGAGGAATGCCGAGACTATGTGACAGTGGGGAACAGCATATTACCCTTGTGTCAGTTGACCCCAGAACCATATAGGAAACGCTTCTGAGAAATGGTGAAGGCTCCAGTAAGTACGTTTACTGAGACAGCAAGAGATCTGGAGAGACGTTTCCAGAGACGGACAACGGCTGCCAGAGTTGGATCTTAAGCTGATCTAAAACAGTTAATGATCATGGAGAAATTCCTAGAAATGATGCATCCCGAGACGAAGTTCAAGATCCACGAGGCAGGAGTGAAGGGTGTAAGAGATGCCGCAGAGAAGGCAGACGTGATTACAGAGTCGTATAAGAGCTTACGGAAAGTCGTATAAGAGTCGTATAAGAGCTTACGGAAAGTCGTATAAGAGTCGTATAAGAGCTTACGGAAAGTCGTATAAGAGTCGTATAAGAGCTTACGGAAAGTCGTATAAGAGTCGTATAAGAGGGTGAAAACTGAGGCAAGACGTAACAATGGCAGACGCAGTGGAGTCTGGGGAGGAAGGAACTATGGTAGAGTCAGAGGAGCCGCGGTGAGAAAGTTTTGATAAATGGGCAAATAAACGTAAGTATCCGGCAACTGAGAGGAGTAGATCGTGCACTTCATCTGCCAAGCTCTCAACATGGGTCTTAGTCCCTCTCCCCCCACAGCTGGTCAACACTCCCTCTCCCCCCACAGCTGGTCAACACTCCCTCTTCCCCCACAGCTGGTCAACACTCCCTCTCCCCCCACAGCTGGTCAACACTCCCTCTCCCCCCACAGCTGGTCAACACTCCCTCTCCCCCCACAGCTGGTCAACACTCCCTCTCCCCCCACAGCTGGTCAACACTCCCTCTCCCCCCACAGCTGGTCAACACTCCCTCTCCCCCCACAGCTGGTCAACACTCCCTCTCCCCCCACAGCTGGTCAACACTCCCTCTCCCCCCACAGCTGGTCAACACTCCCTCTCCCCCCACAGCTGGTCAACACTCCCTCTTCCCCCACAGCTGGTCAACACTCCCTCTCCCCCCACAGCTGGTCAACACTCCCTCTTCCCCCACAGCTGGTCAACACTCCCTCTCCCCCCACAGCTGGTCAAAATGCACTCCCTCTCCCCCCACAGCTGGTCAACACTCCCTCTCCCCCCACAGCTGGTCAACACTCCCTCTCCCCCCCCACAGCTGGTCAACACTCCCTCTCCCCCCACAGCTGGTCAACACTCCCTCTCCCCCCACAGCTGGTCAACACTCCCTCTTCCCCCACAGCTGGTCAACACTCCCTCTCCCCCCACAGCTGGTCAACACTCCCTCTTCCCCCACAGCTGGTCAACACTCCCTCTCCCCCCACAGCTGGTCAACATGCACTCCCTCTCCCCCACAGCTGGTCAACACTCCCTCTCCCCCCACAGCTGGTCAACACTCCCTCTCCCCCCACAGCTGGTCAACACTCCCTCTCCCCCCACAGCTGGTCAACACTCCCTCTCCCCCCACAGCTGGTCAACACTCCCTCCCCCCCCACAGCTGGTCAACACTCCCTCTTCCCCCACAGCTGGTCAACACTCCCTCCCCCCCCACAGCTGGTCAACATGCACTCCCTCTCCCCCCACAGCTGGTCAACACTCCCTCTCCCCCCACAGCTGGTCAACACTCCCTCTCCCCCCACAGCTGGTCAACACTCCCTCTCCCCCCACAGCTGGTCAACACACCCTCTCCCCCCACAGCTGGTCAACACTCCCTCTCCCCCCACAGCTGGTCAACACTCCCTCCCCCCCCACAGCTGGTCAACACTCCCTCTTCCCCCACAGCTGGTCAACACTCCCTCTCCCCCCACAGCTGGTCAACATGCACTCCCTCTCCCCCCACAGCTGGTCAACACTCCCTCTCCCCCCACAGCTGGTCAACACTCCCTCTCCCCCCACAGCTGGTCAACACACCCTCTCCCCCCACAGCTGGTCAACACTCCCTCTCCCCCCACAGCTGATCAACACTCCCTCTCCCCCCACAGCTGGTCAACACTCCCTCTCCCCCCACAGCTGGTCAACACACCCTCTCCCCCCACAGCTGGTCAACACTCCCTCTCCCCCCACAGCTGATCAACACTCCCTCTCCCCCACAGCTGGTCAACACTCCCTCTCCCCCACAGCTGGTCAACACACCCTCTCCCCCCACAGCTGGTCAACACTCCCTCTCCCCCCACAGCTGGTCAACACTCCCTCTCCCCCCACAGCTGGTCAACACTCCCTCTCCCACCACAGCTGATCAACACTCCCTCTCCCCCACAGCTGGTCAACACTCCCTCTCCCCCCACAGCTGATCAACACACCCTCTTCCCCCACAGCTGGTTAACACTCCCTCTCCTCCCACAGCTGGTCAACACTCCCTCTCCCCCAACAGCTGGTCAACACACCCTCTTCCCCCACAGCTGGTCAACACTCCCTCTCCCCCCCACAGCTGATCAACACACCCTCTTCCCCCACAGCTGGTCAACACTCCCTCTCCCCCCACAGCTGGTCAACACACCCTCTTCCCCCACAGCTGGTCAACACTTCCTCTCCCCCCACAGCTGGTCAACACACCCTGTTCCCCCACAGCTGGTCAACACACCCTGTTCCCCCACAGCTGGTCAACACACCCTCTTCCCCCACAGCTGGTCAACACTCCCTCTTCCCCCACAGCTGATCAACACTCCCTCTCCCCCCACAGCTGGTCAACACTCTGTAACACGGGTTCGGGTTCCTCTCTCTACTTCCTTCTTTCTTTGCCCTCTACCCGTATTCTTACTTATTATTCTCTACCAAGGGACTCCAAAACTTTTAACAAAGCCAACTCCACGCCACGTGGTCCTAAGACGATTGACCGACTTAGGATTCTACACCCAGTATGACGTGACCTAAGCTCTGAACAAAACCCTAGAGTCACCTCTGCTGCCACCACCAGACCAGTAATACAAGAGCAATGATCGAGGTCTGGATCGATCACGCTAATTAATCAACCTAGGGGCTTGATCCCCACTATAAACGATGACCTTGAGTGTGGAATAAATTACACGGTAATGATAATTCCGATTCGATGTTAGAATCGGCGCCCAATGCAACTCTGCCTCGTGTGGACCACGTGACCAGGACAAGTATACACATAAAACACATGGAAACAATAAAATGCAAATTAATAACAAATTTAATTTATTAAAAGAAAACTAAAACAAAATCTAAAAATGTTCACTCCCTATCACTTTAACACTCCCTACTTGACCTGAGTGGCAGATGAGAAGACTATTTCTATAATTAACAATAGCAACTATACCTTGGGCGACCAGCTAGATGTTTTGGCTGGTCTTGGGGAGAGGTAAGATGTTTGACCTCTTATCCCAGCTGCTCCCGTTTCCACACTGATCTCTCTCTTGTCTGGTCTACCCCAGACTAGAACATTGTATTGTTCCGCATCGCTTACCCAGTTACTTTAGCAAGGTTAAGTTATAACAATTAAACTCTGTTTGTACTGAATTGATCCAGACTGGTTGAATTATTTTACTGAATTAAATTACAAACATCTAACGGCAGAGCTGTTCCCGATCACCAAAATGGTTATTAAAACTTTGAGAAATAGTAGACCTGTCAACCCCTGATGACCTATGACCGCCGGTCACTCCGCTTTAAAAGTTAGATCTGATTCGTGACGTCACTGATGGTGACTTAAACTCAATAATTAGAATACTCTTGATATTGTATCCAGTACTATTATACAATACAATTTTAATAAAAATGAATAAAGGCTAATTTTCTCTAAATTACTGAATACTATAGGATGATTCATTATACGCAGATATGAACAAAGCGTCGGTTATTTCCACCGCGAATTCCCCTGGGGGTCAGGTCACCATGCGGCTCAGCTTCCCATTCTCTTTTGTCGATAAACCACTCTGGATAATTCTTACAACAGCCTAGTTTGTTACAACCCCCCCGCACAAGCACTTAGTAAACCTTGTTAATTTGTTAAAATTCACGAGGTTTAGTATCCAAACCCACAATTCAACTCATGCCACAAACAAAAGCTAACCTAACTAATAAAATTTGACAAATAATAGTCCAACATCATAATGAACATGTTCATATTTCATAAATTTCTCAGCTGTCAACTGACAGCAATCCTCTAATATCAGGAAACATACATCCTATCCTTACTGACATAGCTAAATAACATGTCCCTACTCTACCATCAAAAACTAGCTATTAAACTCTCTTGGCTCTTCACTAGCCAAGTCCATGTGTCCTCTAGAGCCGGCCACACCGTGCTCAACCAAACATTAAAGTTATATCATCAGACTGAACTTTCAGTCATCCGGGAGCGTACTACGGAACTATCAAGTTCACATCCGTGTACTAACCACTCCCCATCAATGTCAACCTTGACATGTTAAGGAACACACCTAATGTTTATTACATGTATCTAAAAATAAAAAAAATTCCTATACTATATCACAGGTTTCAGCTGACTGTACAGCCAAGTGTTCTCACTCACTAGAAGTGTCAATGTTTATATTGGTCCGCCTCTCCTGTGTTCAAACATTCTGAAAAAAATAGCACAACATAATTTTCCATAACCGTTTGTTCTGGGCTGAGACAATTACACAGGGGCTTCGATTTTGATTACTGACCAATTTATAGAGTAAAATTCATATATTATACCAGAATTATTTTAAATCTGTTTTTCAACATTTATAAAGAATTGATTCTAACTCTGTTTTTCAACATTTAAACAAAAGTGTCCAGATGTTCTTTACACAGATGTTCAGAGCCAACTTTGTTGTTTGTATCAATTGTTCATATTGAGTAAACGATAAAAAAAAAAATCGACGCTGCTGGATGCTGAATGTAGTCGCTGACGATGACGGTGTCGATCTTGCTTCTCCCCATGTGTAGACATCAATACCTGGTCCTCTTGTACTCCCATCCGGTACTCCTGAATGACGACAGAGTGTAGTAGAGCTGAGTGCCAAGTGACAGCTGTAGAATACTGTTACTTCGGCCATTAATCTTGCTCTCGACAGTCCACACGCCTTCATATCAATCACAGTTCACACGGCAGTCTTGATGTTAAACTTGTCGCAGATGACCACAGCAGAGCAGAACTGGATGTACCAACGGTGTCTCTTAGCAGTAGTGGTGTCAGAAGGTCGTCGAGGCGGGTTGCTTGTTTGCAGAACAGGTGAATCTCGTCTTCCATCATTGCTCACGTCATCTCAGGCGTTTCTTGATGTCACCAGGTTACTAGGCCGTAAACACCAACTGTGTATACCCTCGTACCGCCGACTTTAGGCCAAAGGAGACAATTTTGCGACCTTCTATTGGCG